ATGCAATTATTGAATCATTGTGTGCATGAGTTGAGTTCTGAGCTTTAATCAGCACTTTATTCATGTAGATTAAGTAGGCACTGGCTGGGTGCTAATTAAAACCAGACATTATGCTCAGACTTCCAACAAGATGCCAACACATTGTCTCAGGGTTTTTTTTTGCCTTAAACACTTTATATTCAGCCTAAGGGCCAAACTTGATGGAATTTAAAACAATTCTGTAAATGTTTATCCTCGTGCACCCCCATCCCTCCACCCCCCATTCTTTTTCTCAAGGGCTTCATTACATTGAATAAATTGTTCCGTTTTGATCTCACCTCAGATAATTGGACTCAAATATTTTATCATACCCCCTTCAGGCTGCACCATTTTGCCTCAAAAATGTTCTTGGTTGGTCAGCACATGGCCCACCAACGCTCACACATGCACACACACACACACAGGTCTACAGGGCCTAGTGAAAACAAAGCTGGTCTCTGCCAGTATAAACAAGGATCATTGTCATGAGGGCTCTTTCCCGCCTCGTATCTTCACTCCCTGTGATGATACAGACCTCTTACACACAGCTTTAGTAGAGAGGATTTGTTCAGCAAAGTTATTTTAAAAATCACAACGATTCCTTTTCCCTTTATTTATGTGAGCATGTCATTATAATAGAGGCTTTGGGGTGTGATTTATGTGCTCGGTTTTGCTCCCTTTCACCCCTTTTTTTCTCCCATTTTACTGGTTAAATCCAACCGCCTGGCTTTTGAGGTATGGTTTGTGGCCATTTAGTTGAAGCAGTTTGAGCTTTTTTGACTTTTTGGGTATTTATAGAGGAGCAGTGGTCAGTATAATAGACAGCACCAAAGAATATTTTCATAAAAGGTAATGAAACTGCGTCTCAGCTTAGAGAGATTCTGTATTTCTCACAATGGCTTCTCTAAGCTGTGAACCTTGACCACATGTGCAGCCAATTAGAACCAATCAGAAAGCTGTAATCAAGGCGGGCATGAGGAAGACGGTGTTCCATCGAGGGCATTTTAGGACTCATGATTAGTGGGTCAGATTGATGAGAAAGAATAAGGGGCTAGCTTTGAGGTCAAATCCCATTTCTCAGTTTTGTTTTTTCTTTTAACTTCAAATGTGCATCTTGATTCATTTCAGTTTGAGCCAAAAAGCTCAGGAAAATGAGTTATCTGGATAAAATAACATCTTTAAGAATCTTTTTTCCCATTTCTTACCGATTTAGATGATATATTGCTTTGGTTTGCCACATGACCTGATGCGATTATAGGGAGGTAGCCTATATAAATGTAAGAATATGCTGTACGCTGCAACTGGCAACATGATTAAAACCATGTTAAATTTGAGTGTAGGGCCAAATAAAACAAAAAGAAGTCAATCAGTAGATCTTTTAAAACCTCTTGTGCTTACATGTACATTTATTCAGGCTACTTTGCTGGTCTTTATTTCTCTAATTAGTTAAACGGCTAATCTAACGGCAAAAACTTAAATGCATCCTAGTTTATGACCTTTCAAACCCCGTCCTGCAAAGTTAAACAGCTGTTTCCACAATCAGAACCAATGTGTCTAAGTCCCACATTTTACCCATTTTTATTCCAGTCAAGAAAATATAATGCTAAAGATTATAAATCTGACCAATTAGTCCATAGATAGCTATAGACATGCACTTTTTTTTAATCATCCTTGTAAATGAGCTAAATAATCATTCCCAATTCCTCTGTGGGATTTCATGGATGAAGGACTCCATTCTTTTGTGTGACAGAAAATGACTAAATCTTAAAGGGTTTGATGTTATGTATATTTTCTATTGAACCAGATTCCTGCAGTAGCAGAGAGATGGCCATGGAAGGACCAGTTTTTAAAAAGGGGAGGCCATAAAACTGAAACCACCAATTTCCAGTTGGTACAGTGTGGTTGGTGTTAACCAGTTAACACCAACCACACTGTACCAACTGGAAATTAAGCATACAAAACATCAGTATTTTGCGAAATAATCAGTGAAAACAGACTAGATTTTCATGAAGGACTCGCTAATAAATCTGTACACATATTTATACATCTTTGTTGATTCATTTGGTTATTGTTCTGCATAATATACACATTGGGTTGAAAAAAACCTGAGATCTGTTAATATGAATTATTACCCAATTACGGTATTTTTTATATTAGTTTAAGGTTAATATACTAAAAACTGAAAAATTTAGTTATTTAGGACATTTCCTTTTAGAACATCACAACTACCACTCTCTGTTTTAGAGGGTAACCATTACTTCCTCTTTTATAGAAAAAAGGTGGCAATTTGTGGCCATTGATTGGCTAGGGGTGGCAATGCACAGCCTTTGCCCCCGTTCTAGCTCCGCCCCTGGATTTCTCAGGAAAGCATTGACAGAAATTGTCTTTTTTTTTGTCCTCTCATAATAGAAATCAATGAACCTAACTGTAACCTTTGCAAACATACTTAATATATCATCTGCTTTAATTGATATCTTACAACATATCTTTTTTAAGTTATCTTCTCCACTCCAAATGGTACAGTTCTTCAGGGATTAATCTTTCGCCCTAGATTTTGCAGCGCCTCGGGTCAAACCTTTTTTTTTTCCTTTTAGGACTCGGGTCAAACCTTTTTTTTTTTCCTTTTAGGACTCGGTTCAAACCTTTTTTTTTTTCCTTTTAGGACTCTTGAATATGAAGGTATTCTGTTTTTACGAAGTAGCTGCCAAAAAAGTCTGAAATAGTTCTGGAAAGACTTGGGGGATATTCAAATACAAGACATATCTATTGATATGATAGAATCGTATCTGTCATGGTTTTTGATCTGTTTAAGTTTTCCTTTTGAGCCTTCATTTTTATCTTTTGTTATCCTAGTTGTTTTTGGTTGTATTTTTTGAGTTTGTATGTATTTGCTTACCCTCTGTTTTCCCCTTGTGTCAGTCTCCTTCCCCTAGCTCCCTTCTAGATGCTTCCATCTGAAGGGAGCTCCTTGTCAGCTCATTAGCCCAGTTTTTGTTCTGTCTCCCATATATACTCTCCCTGCTGGTTCCTTATCGCTTCTTCATCCTCATTTATGTTTTCCCTGACGTCTTTTAGGTTTTGGTTTTCTGTATTTTGTTAATTTTGGATTTTTGCCTCAGATGCCACCTTTTTGATTGATTAAATCTGCAAGAAACCACTTCAGGTTCCGTCTCTGCATTTGGGTCCTCCAAAACCTCCACTCAACCTAACAGTATCTCTATAACTATGATCCACCTATGAGCTGTAACACACCACACACACTACTTGATTAGAATATAAAGGGTTTCTAACATAATTGTTCTTTAAATATTATAGTTCAGCAAATAACCCATTTACATTTTTCAGACCCGATTACCTTAGTAGTTTCCTCTGGAAATCGAGTAATGCAGCTACTACTACGGTACTATTGGTGTAGCTTTGGAGGTCACTAGTGAAAGCTGCAAGTGGTTTTAAATTCAGAGTTTTTCCCCCGTAATATAATTTCAGTCTAAATAAAGACAGTGAAACATCCGCTTGCTGTAACACAGAGCACCAAAGATAAATGCAGATCTCTGCCAAATAGAATTCCCTGAGAGTAAAAGTTTTAAATGTCAGTGGTTATATTTTCGCAATTTGAAAAGCCTTGTAATGTGTCCAGACGATCAGTATCCAGTGAACATAGAGAGTGTGGTCTGCTCAGCTCCATCCTTAGTTTTGATTGGCTTTTGGAACACAGCCATTTAACATCCCTGGAAAATATATATTTATGTTCTTGGCTTTTAAACAAACTTGAGGTTTTTTTATCCTCAATCACGTGTCAGAATCAAATTATTAGACACCCTTATGCCTGCAGAAACATGTAGCAAATCTTTCCTCATCCATTTGCTTGTCCACAGTGATGAACATGCAAGAACAGCAGAAAACTGGACAGTCAGTCATAGGCTGAGCTGCAAATCAGTGCTGATCCATTGGGGCAGATTAATGCGATGACCGGGGAATGGCATGGCCTGCAAAAACCGCATGTGAGCGAACAGGAATGTATGGCCCGCTGCATTGTGGGTTTGTGTCTGGGGGTAAGAGCGCCGACTCTGTGATTCACAGGATGCTGTTAGGATGTGGGGGTTAGGGGTGACATAGAAGATAGAAGAAGCCTAACATTTGGGAATCAGTCTAGCATCAAGGGAAGTGTGAGTCACTGCCTGGACACCCTCTACATCTGTCTCCCTCATAGAGTAGCTATATAGTGATTGTTTTTCTTTCTCTTTTCTGTAATGAAATACACCAGACATTAGGAAAACCCTCAGTCTTCATTAATGGCATCTGTTGATCATCTTTGGCTTCTGGTATAGCCTGGTTTAGATCTTTAGGGTCATTGAAAGAATGACAAAGTGTAAAAAAGCATAAAACAGAAATCCTAGTTGTTGCTTATTCTCTGCAGAAGTTTACTCAGCTCTTATAAGTAAAGGTACGCAACATGTTGTATGAGGTTACTGCTATATATTGTACTTTTTACCCCCAATTGTAAAAGTAATTTTTATAACATGATTGTAATGCTCTTATTCTGAGCTGAAAAATGAAAACAATTCTTACGAATTCTAAGTGAATAATTAATGTAGGTCTAGTTTGTAGTTGCTTTTTGCACACAATGTCTAACATGTTCCCACCTTGCTAAATATGTCAGGACAGTAGAAGCAAGTTAATTAGTCAGGCTACCTGCTTGCATAGTTATCCAGAAATAGATGTCAAAGGGGTAATTACTGCATTACTCTGGTCTATACTGCTGGCAAGAATTGGATTATATATGAAATAACATTTTAAACATTACTAAAAAATAATATATTGCTAAACAACAGATAATATCACTTTAGTGAGACTGTTGCTCCTGGTTAACAATTGACTGACTTATGCCTTTGAAATAACAGATGGTATCTAAAAAGTCACTATTTTTCTTTTATTATCTGTTCCTTGAACTTTTCTACTTTATATTTCTTTTTTCTTTAAAGTGCCAAAGAGGCTGCTGCAGGAGCCCGGCCACAGACCAGCGGTGTACCACCCACCCTCTGCCACTCGTGACCCCAATGTAGTTGGAGACGGCCCTTCTGGGGGAAGCTCAGTCCAAAGCACTGTTCCAAGTAAGCAACAATATGCACAAGATGATTCTTCCAGAGCATAAGGATAACTTTTAACAGTATTGTAACCTTCCAGAAACCAGCAGCAATCATAATTTATGACTCAAGTTTAGGTTTATGTGTTTACAAAATGTCACATGTATAACTGTTTCCATATGTGTCCAGATTTCTTTATGATCAGTGGTCTTTCAGACATTATGCTTTTAAGGATCCACTGATTATAAAACATGTAAGTGCAGTCTAAAACCATCTCATAATGTCAAATATTCAAAGAGGGAAAAAAAAACTGGTATAATGAAATAATGAGAAAAGGGGGCAGAGCCCACCAAAAAAACAAAGCACCATTCTTTAGGGACACTGGCGTACATCCAATACTCATTACTCTGCTCAGCCACCAGCGCAGTACTGATTAGGGGAGGTTTGAATGAATAAGGAGTTAAAAAGGGAACAAGCAGGAAGGGAAAGAAGAATGCATGATGCAGCACTGACAGCCTCTGACGCATGTATGAATTAACTTCCCTCCACGATTTTGAGAAATCCTGTTTGGGTTTGCCAGAAAAACCTGTTTTCATCTCTGATGTCATGTTGTGATGGCAGATAACACTTAAGTTGAAGAAAAGCAGCTTGAGGTAAAATACCTCTGACTTCCTTGGTCATTTTTATTCTAAAATAGTGATCTAAACAGGCTTGATCTGATAAGAGCCATTTTGCTTTCTTTTAGGATAAAAATTTATTATAAATATCCAATGAATACCAGAATAAAAAATATTTTCATGATGCTTTAGTATCTTTGCAGCAGCAGATGTTTTATCCTCTCCCAACTTATTACATGGCAGGTAAAGTGACAGAATCCTTCAATCAGGAGTGTCTCAGCCATAATTCACTAGATTCTATAGTATTACACAAACTCATCTTTAACTATGCTTGATTTTCTTTTATCTGAATAATGTCAGTTTAAGCTTCTATATATTAGATTATTCATGCAAATGAGACTTTGATGTAAATGTTTATAAAACAGCATTTGTAAGAAAATATCAAACATTTTAATTGTTTTAACTTGACCAAAGTCACTCTTAATAGACATGAGCAAAAATAATATGGTTATCAAAAAGCACATCTCCATCTACAGACATCTCCATCGAAAAAATGTAAACTATCTGACAGGATTTGGTTGTGGTTTGAGGACCCAAATGCAGAGGCAGGGAGGCAGAGGTGAGTTTCTTGATGATTTAATGAACTGTTACCAGACAACGGAGGCAGGAATCCAAAAATCCAAAAAGTAAAACGTGAAAAAAAGTCAAAGAAACCAAAAACCATTGAGACATCGGGGGAAAAAACAATCTCAACGAGGAAGACTCAGAGAGACGGAGTTGGAGGAAGTTAGACGATGAACCAGCACTGAGGAACTCCACAAGGAGTGTATTTATGGGAGACTGAACAAAGAGAGGACTAACGAGCAGATTGGGAGCAGGTGTGAACAGAGCAGACTAGAGAGGAGCTAGGGAAGAAGGAAAACACAAGAGGGCAGCAGAGGTCAACAAATTAAAACATGAAAACCTAAACTATAACCAGAAAACACAACAAAATAAGAAATAAACCAGTAAAACTAGAAAACATGGAGCAAAGTAAAACTGAATACACAAAAGAAAACATAACAGAACCAAGACTGTGACACTATCCTGTTAACATTCTTGGCACTACCTATGTCTTTTTGGAGTTTTCAACTTCTCCATTATGTATTCTATACCTTGATTCTACAAAGATTTTAATAGAAATCTCAAATTTCCAATAGAAAACAGATTTTTTGCCTTTTGTTGCTCTAATTTTGGTTTATGCTTACAATTGCAAAGCCTTGCCCGTAGGAGTTGTTGCTTGCTATGTTTTCCATATGAATCTTTCCATTTAGTTACAAATTTTCCTGGCATACGGTGCGGAAACCCTGTCTGTACGGACGTCAGGTGAAGCCGAAAATTACGTAGTTTGGCCCCACGGACCTCGCAGATGCACCAAGCATAAACCATACTTGTATCTTGTTGTATACTACGTTAAAATCATGAGCCAGATTGCTTTATTTACTTAGATCTACCCTTATTTAAAAACAAAATGCAATTTTTTTTTATTTTCAGAGAAAAGTTGTAACAAAGTTTTAATATTCAATATGTGTGAATAGAACAACCTTTTTTGGGGGGAGGATTTACCAAAGCAAGCGCTAAATCTGTTACATTTTTTTGTTTCCTATTTTTTCTCTCTACAGTTTTTTGGATATTTGTAAGTTTGGTATGTAAAGATATTTTGGTTGAATGTTGATCTGAGGCTCTCAACACATTAATAAGTCCAGGTGGAGTCACTTAACCGCACAGGAGTCATTTCAATCTAAACTATATTTATCAGATGAAAAACGTGACACACCTTTAGAAACCTACAATTAGAGTAAGACAGTTTAACAAAACTCCCTTACCTTCGAAGAACAAAGGAGTCCAAATTTAGATATATGACTGTTTGCCCATCCTCAGATATTAGTGCATCTCACATCTGTTTTTAGGTTGTTTTCCAACAGTACATTGTTCATTCCTGAAAAAAAATATCGTGGCCCACAACGTAGCTCTTAAGATTAAGTAAAAAGATGTTTACACAAAGATTAGACTGTGATGTATATGACCCAAGCCAGCAAAAACAGAAATGACGAAAATGGAGCACAGCAAACAGTTGTTTCTTTTTATAAACAGAATCTCTTGAGATTTGGGGGAACTTTTGAAATGTTGCCAAAGTGCAAACTATTTCCATGTGGTTCTCTGCTGCTTTAAGTTTTTGAGTCAGAGTAAATCAAACAGAAGCAGATGTTGCATTATCTTCTAAATCATATATTTTCCTCATTCCTGTGTGATGTTTGACAAAGCATAGAAAATAAACCCTCAGAGACTTTAGGTGACTCAGTTTTCCGACTTATGCTTTCACAATACACTCTAGTTTTACTGTAAATGACCTTACTAGTAATGCATCACTCATTCCGAATGTTATGGGACAGAGGTTGAAGCCTCAGTCATTTACTGCTTTTAAAATTCTAACTTCTCCTTTTAGCTCGAAGCCCCAACAAGAAACAAACATCTGAAACCAAAAAGGGCAGCGGAAACTATCCATCACAGCAACCAGGCATGAATCCTGTGATCAACTCCACCTCCAGAGGCAACATGGCCCTCATCAGCAATGCACTAGCAGCGTACACCTACATATCAGGTAGGAGAGTGTTTGTGACATCTAACGACGCGATACACTAAATCCAGACTTTAAAATTAAAGAGTTCTTGCATTTCTCTGATGTATCTGAGGAAGATGAGTGGAAGAAAGAGGTTTACTGCACCGAGATCAGAATTTATTAGACTGTGGTTATTTCTTTTTTAATTACCTCTATTTTTGTGACTACAATGAACAGATTATTCACAATTAAAATGCATTAACAGGCATACAATAAACTTGCAAGGCACATGTTGAACATGAGGCCGATGTTTACACAAACATGTTCTTGCATCTGTAATCTTAATACCAGTATCTGATAAAGATTAGCTGCAGTTGTTATACTATGATAAGAAATGGAAAAGAAAAATGTTTATTGAGATATTTTATCAGTGTGATGAAGGTATTGTGTGAATGCTTTCTTGGGGACAAACAAGATTCTCTGAATCTGAAGTAGATCTTTCAACTAAGCATTAGTAATGTTTTGTTTGCTGATGATATTTTTTGGGTCAGCCCTTCTCATACAGCACTGGACTGATTTAGATCCTGCTGGAAGGACAGGGACCTCTTTGTGTCAGTAAGCAACCCTACATCAGAGACCTCAAAAACCATGCGGTGTTCTACAAGGCTCCATCTTAGGATCCCTTCTATTCAACATTTACATGCTCCCCCTAACCCAGATCTTAATAAACATCAATATAAGTTACCATAACTATGCAGACGACACAGTTATACATTGAGAAGTCACCAGGTGATTATGAACTCATTCAAGTGCTGGGTTAATGCATAGAAGAAATCAAGGTATGGATGTGCCAAAATTGCCTTCAGCTGAATCAAAACAAAACTGATGTCTATAAATCACTTTATGGCTTATAAATCACTTTATGGCTTTCATTTTAGACCAAATGAAGGTTTGAAGTTAGCAGATGGCTTCATGTAGTGCAGCTAAATTTAACCAATCAGGCTCCAACCCTCAGTGTAGTGAAGGACTCTGACCTGAACCATTAAAGGACCAATATATAGGCATGACCTTAAAAAAATTAATTCATTTCTTTATCTCAAGTAAAACTGATTACTATTATGTTGTATTCACAGGTATGACTATTAAGTCTATCAGACAGCTGAAGCTGATCCAGAATGCTGCTGCCTGCATCCTCACCAAAACTAAAAAAAAATGGAGCACATCACCACAGTCCTAAAATCTTTACACTGGCTCCCTGAGGGAGAGAGGGGGGGTTTCTGTTAGTCTATAAATCACTTTATGGGTTAGCACCAAAATATAAAGCACACTACCACCCAGACTTCTCTGAACTACTAGCAAATTTCTACTCTGCATACCTGAAAACCATAACCAGATTTGGAGAAGCAGGTTTAAGTTCTTATGCTCCACTTACCTGGAATAAACTCTAAGAAAATTGTAAAATGCTTTAAATCAAGGTAAAACATTTAATTGTTTAGATGACTTTTTGTCTGTGCTATCTAAACATGATTAGTCATGTTTTCAGTCTAACATTCCTACATTTATCAATCATTTTATCTGTTTTTGATATATTCATCACATTTTTATCATTTATTTTTGTTTTTCTTAACTATTAAGGACCTTGTAGTTACCACTGCAAGGTACTTTTCTTCTTTTTTTTTTCTGTTGCATTCCTATACAGCACTTTCAAAACTGAGAAGAAAAAAAAAACAGTTTAGTTTAGACGTTGCTGACTGAGATCTTGAGGTAACAACAAATCCAGATAGACATAAAAAATTTTAAAGATGTGGAAAAGCACCTTATGCCCCCTTGTTTGGAAGACTGGTGGTTCTTCAATGCTGTAGCGCTGTTTCATTTTTTTAACAACTGATAAATTGATTGTATTGCTTCAAAAACATGTCAAAAATCAAAGTGAATCAAGAAAACAAAACTGGCATCATTTTTCATAAAAATATATAAATAGATGTTGGATCTTTTAATACAAAAATGGTCCAAAAACATTTGGCTGCAATATAAAATGTTTCAGAAAAGACTTCTGTCTTGCATGGCTAACTAAGCACCTCTGATTTAGATGCTTTAGGAGACCAGTGAGGTGAGCTGAGAAGGAGAATGCATAAAATAGTACTCAAGGATTAGACTATCCACATAAATTACATGAAATCGAACAAGGGTTTAAATATAAGACGTAGTGCTATTCTGTTCTCAAAGCACTAAGGCGGTCCACCGGTGATTTAGATTTGTTTTAAATTGCTATTTAGGGTCAAATATGTGTTTTAGATTTTGCCAGACTGAAAAAATGTTTCATTCCTCCTCCTTATTCTTCCCATGGTATTGTGTTTGAGAAGGATGCTGAATAAAATGTTGGTGTTTTCTGCTCCATTTGACTATGGGGAAGTAAGAAAAATCTATATATATTTCTGCAAAACAAGTTTCAGATTCTGGAAGGTAGTTGGTTTCTTAGAATTAATTTGTTTGATGAGCGGCTGGAAAAGCTGATCAGTAAGGCCAGCTTTGTGATTGGATGCCCTCTGGACTCCCAGCAGCTGTTAGACTTTATAACCACCACTGTTCCCAACAACCTCAATAAGTTGTTGCATTCATGCTGATTTTGCACAGTTTCTACCTTAGTCAGTTAAATAACATGCTGCTGTCATTTTGCACTTCTCTGATGTCACTGTTATTTTCAAATATGCATTACTGTAAAAATGTCCATAGCTGTATATTGGTTATTTATTCTCCAGGTGCACAGTATTTCTAATGTTTAAACACTTTAAAGTACAGTATTTCATTTAATAAGGTCCACATTTGTGTCATTATTTTTTCTATAATGTTTTTGCTGCTGTAAACCCCAGAATTTTCCCATTTTTCTGTTCTATTCTATATTAAACCTATGTTTGCACCTATCTCATTTTTACAAGCACTTGTCGTTTTCTGTGTAAAAGGTGCTGCATAAATACATTTTACTTAATAATATATAAAATAAAAGGAACTAAGTAGAGTAATAGAATACATCAGATGCCAACAGACTAAACCATTAAATATTACTACCTCATCAGATAAAGTAAAAATAAAAGAAACAGTTTAGTGCAAAAAGCTTTTATTAAATATTGCACCTGTTTAGTGTTAGATATCCCCTAAATCTGACATTTCCTGTCTGATTTTCATGTTTTTTGTCCCTAAAAACAGACCATCCAGAAAGGGCTGCGCTATTCTTCGTCTGTGGTGTGTGTTTGGGCCTGTTCCTCACCCTCTTTGCCCTGGTGGTCCAGATCTCCTGTCGCACAGACTGCCAGTCACGGCAACGACCGACCGCCAAGAAGCTGCCTCGCCCCACCCACTCGTCTTCGGACTCCAGCGACTCAGACTCGGACTGGGAAACCACGTCGGATCTGTCCGCGCGAAGGCACAGGCGCTTCGAGCGTACGCTCAACATGAACGTGTTCACATCAGCAGAGGAACTGGAGAGAGCCCAGAGGCTCGAGGAAAGGGAGCGAATCATACGGGAGATCTGGATGAATGGACAGCCAGACATCCCAGGGACACGGAGCCTCAATCGCTATTACTGAATACTGACTGACTTGTTTTTATCAAAGGCTTCATCGTCTTAAACTTAATCCAGGATGCACTTGATTATAAGGGTAGGGATCACAAAAGCCCAATATGGAGCCATGGAAACAAGCATGCCAACGCAGCCTTGGACTCTTTGAAGAGAGGATGGATTTGCACGGTTGCAGGCTGTCTTTCACTGGGTATCATAAGCTGCAACCCTTTCAGTCAAACAATAAGCTTGCATTGTGCATGGCAAAATTACCTCATTGGAGGTAAACTTCCATCAGAGGTGAAAGGCTGTATTGATGGAAGTGGCGATTTATGAGTTACTTGCCTTGAAAATAAACAGACCTACAGAGACTACCTGGAGGCCGAAGGACCAAAACCTCAGAGGGGTCTGTTCTAAACAGAACACAAGGCAGCTGGATGAGACTGTGAAACATTGAGCTCTTTGCTCAGTACTCTCCAGTATTCCTTACGATATTAAACAAAAAAGAAAGTGCGCTTTGACAATGAGCTGAAATAAGACAATCTTTTCACAGTAAACTATGCTGCCTTTGAGCGTTATAAAACCAAAAGCTGTTGTGTGTGTGTACAGGGGATTCATCTCGACCCTTATGGAATATATTTTATAATATTTAATAGATGTCGTGTACTATTTGTTCACAAGTATGGTTTGTTTGGAAATATTTTTTTACTTGGCAAAAGTTGTCTGGCACCTCAGGGATGCAATCCTAGTGTTTCTGTGTTTGGCTAATGTGCTTTCTTCCTAAGAAGGGGGTCATCAGCAGACCAAATAAATTCTTATTAAGGCATAAAAAAGAAATGAAATGGAAATATAATGCAAAGAGCCTCAAAGAGGCTTTTAGTGATTTATAACCTTATTTTTGATACAGTTATTCACATTGAAGTGCCTTTTTCTAGCTATTAAAGACACAGTTGGTAGAATTTGTCAAATGTTTTTCAAAGGTAAGCTAATTAATTGGAAATATTTCATTTGCATGCGGCTTTTACAATACAGTTTTAACGGTAACCTGAGGGTTGAGTCAAATCTGAATGTTTCTGTTAAATATTGCACTTCCTATATACTCTGGTGGAAATGTAAATGACAAGAATATGCCAGTGGTTTTGCTTGAATTATACTTTTTTAGGTGTTGATCCTCACTCCTCTATGTCACCCACGACCTAATGTAAAGCTAATGGTCCTGAGATGATGTTTTTGCTATGTGAAGAAGAAACCATCCGCACAAAAAACAAAAACGGGTGCAGCAGAGTAAATCAGAATGCCACTGAAAAGCTTATTTGTTTAAATAATCTGATTCAAAAAATATATATCTGTATTATAAACTGACTATTATGACTTAAGGTTAATGATAACAGAAAAGCATTGTTTCTCAGAAATTATTTGGATAAGGCCAATAGAAAAACACTACTTTGTGATAAGGCTAATGGCTGTGAAAAGACTGCTAGATGCAAACATAATTATAGAAGGTTTAATGGAGGAAAATAGGGTATTTGAAAGGGCGCTTGAGCTATTGGGGTACCTGAAAGGCAAAGTCCATTTAACATATATAAGCTAAAACTCAAGTTCTTCATATTGTCTGGAGGAAGATGGCAGCAAACAATGCAGGTGACCAAATGCCTACTGTCTCTATGTTGCTCCATGCATGATGCAGTTACTCAAGCAAAAACAAAATCTCTGATCAAGTATTAGGTTCATTTACTATACAAAACATGGGCATACATTTGATTAGGCTGATATTTATGTATAAAGAAAATATTTCTGTTTTATTGGCTTGATTTATTTATATGTTCTTAGAAACTAAAATTGTTTTTTTTTAATTAACTATGAGCCATTGTCATAAAAATAAACAAAACTAAAGTCTTGCCTTTGAACTAAGTTACTAAAACAACTTCGGTGTCAATGATATTTGAATTTTCTAAGTTGCACCTCAACAGCTGACATGAAAACTGCCTTTGTTTGTTAATCACATTGTCAGTTTGATGACATAGGCTACTCCCAGTTTCATTAGGGCTTTGTAATCTTTTGAGAGATTTTAGTTACAGAACACACAGGGCATTTAAGAATGAACCTTATAAAGGTCAATTTCACATGGATTAGGTGCCTACTTGAGGTGTAATTTTAAAATTGCAATCTGTAAGAGATAAGTATAACATGCCTGAAATAAACTGTGTTGAAATTAAGCATTAGTCCACATTGTTTTTCACCCTTTTTTTTAAGTATGCACTTTTATTCACCCAATAGGTCAAAATAGGTTAAAGTTATCGTATTAGAAATAAGAAACACATCTTAGCTGGTGAGATTTATTGGTTTTTGCTGCCACCTGCTGGTTGGCTAAGAGGTAAGCAGCTTGTGTAGTATTTTATTATAAGTTGTGATAAACTTACTCTCTTACATTATTTATATAAACTTATGCTTGTAATTTATTCTTGAACTTGATTGTCTCCCCGTTGTCATTTTTCGGTGTATTGATACATTTTCCACACTTTGAGTTAAAAACGTTGCCGCGTTGTTGTTTCCATGGATACCACAAACTGAACGGTGGAATTGTTATGTCGCTTCTCACGCCATCGAAGACGATTTTATTGTCCTAAAACAAGGAATTATCAGACTTTTGGAGAGAAGAAACCAAACAAAAGATCGACGCAGAAAATGTCCTCAGGGTGGAATAACTACGGGTTACCGTTTATACCTGGATATAGTTTTAGGGATCTGACGGTAAGGATGTACACAGCAGCTGTTTTCCTAAATACAACTTAACGTCTCTTAAACATTACATATTGTTTAATTTATCACTTTTTTCTGGAAACAACCAATTAATATAACAAAAACATGCAGTGAAAAAAAGAATGCAACCGTTTTTAGCATTTACTTAATCATATTTAGTTACTTTAACACAATTGTTTCATGTTAGCAGGGTTGAACATAAAACAATTGTGTTAAAGTAATCAGAGTCAGACATACTTTAATAATCCCAGAGGGAAATTACAGAAAACTAACTAAATATGATTAAGTAAATGCAAAAATCGGTTGCATTATTTTTTTCAGTGTGCCACATCAGTCAGCAGAGGTTCAGAGCAATGATTAATAAAAACGTTTTCCATTAAAATATGTGTAATATGTGCTTATATATATATATATGAAACTGAAAACTTAAGGAATAGTGGTGTTGAAGTGTTACTGTCTCTTACTGACAGTTGCCCATAAGCTGTGCTTTGTATTTATTTTTGACCAATTTTTAAGTAATTTGTACTTTAAGCTCAATATAAAAACATTAAAAATGCAAAACAAATGTAGAAACTGGTGGGATTTTGTATTTTTGGACGCTGGACTGGTGGATATGTGAGACTGACCTTCATACTGCTGATCTGAAATCTAAAGGATGTTGACAAGACATACAAAGAAAAAAGTAATGCAATGGGGGAGTGGTGGCCTAGTTAGTGCATTGTCCCACACAGACTGCAAATCTGGCTCCCTGAGCAAGACCCTTAATCCCACACTGTTCCCTGGGCGCCGCACAATGGCACCCCAAGGGGATGGGTTAAATGCAGAGAGTGAAGTTCGTCGCTCTGTACTTGTGACAGTGTAATTACAATGTATCACCTTCCTCTTAGACAACATAAAAATGTGGTTGAAAGGTGAAAATTAATCTGATATAGTATGTCTAATAATATCTAGATTGGTTTGAAAGATTGTACCCAGATCTCTAGACAGGCTTGATTTTTCTACATCTCACAACTGTTACTAAAGACACAGACTAGTTGATCTAAAATGACCAAGAAAAAATAAGATAGAAATGGAAATCCCAAGTTTAAATGCCATTTTTCTGTAATTAGCTAAATTATAGATCAGACGAATTTTAAAGCATGCCAGTTGCCTGATTGAAAATGCACTCCCTCTCAAAGGTCAGAAATACCACTCCTGCAATAAAGAAATATAAATAGAAAATGGACTGTGCTGTCCAAGCCTCACTCTGATAAATAACATTGGTTTGTTGTTTTTAAAGTTTTGCCAGGAGAAAACTTTTTTTTCTTCTAAACAGATAATGGGAGGTTGGCAATGATGCAATGAAGAATTTAAAGAAGACTTCAAGAATAATGTACTCAGGACTTTTGGAACAGATGAGACAAAATAAGAAATGTGCAGAAACTTAAAAACAGCTTTTAAACAGGAACAGTTCAAAGCAACTGGGAAACATTGTTGTTGAGTCACCCATGAATTCCTCCATTGCATCTGTTGGAACCAAATGTTTGATTTATGATTGAATATTTATTATTTCTAGTTTACTCTTTTTGTCTGATTTGGTATGACATATATGAACATGAAATATTTTGGTTTGAAGTATGAGTTGACTTAATTATGAAATAATTAATTTGTTTAGTTGTATTTTTGTTGCTGTGCATAATTTACGTTGTTTCTCGCCTCCGCCCCTTCATTATAGACAGGTGACTGCAGCACCTGAAATATATTGGAGTTGGCTATTGGGGCTAGGTGAGCTCTTGGTTTCAGGCACGCAGCCATACAGTTTTTGACCACTGTTGATCATTGTTGTTTTTTTTGAGTGGCATAAAAAGGAAAGAAATGAGTCGATAGGATCTTTCTGTCACGTCATACTGCGCTAAGAAATTCTAAGTTTGTTTTTTTTAGATAATGTAGTGCCTTGATGAAGAGGAAAGAAAGTTTGTTGGATTGCATGGTCACTTTAAAAAACATCTGACAGCTTTGAAGTGAGTCTAATATAGATGCTTTTGAACCTAGAGCCGTGCGCATCTTTACTGGACGGATTGCGCTTAAAGCATCCCAAAGGAATTCTGGGGTCAAATGGGAGGCCAGCAGATCAAGAATTGATGTGAAGTGTAGGTTGAAGGTAGCCTTTGTCAGTTCTGCCTTCAAAATATTCCAATAATAAAAAAAACAACTAAATCTACTAATTTGAAATGTTAATTTAGGCTTAAATTCTCACCTCCTGTCTGACACTACATCTTAACTTTTCACACTTCAACAGTAGCTTAAACATTTCGATTGTTTAGTATCAGTTTAAGTGTTAAAGGTATAGTGGAGGATTTTCGAAAAATAATTTTTGAAAAGACCTGCCCTCTCCACTTTAAAAAAAAAAAAAAAAAGCACATGCACAACCCTGTACCTGCTTCCGAGTGGGAACGCCTATTATACATGTGCGAAAGAATGCACCAGCCCATTTCTCCTTGTCCATGTTTAAAAGCTGCAGTTTGCATCGCTCATACAAGCTTACTTTGCAAGAAGATTGGCAACTTTTCCGCTATGTCAGATTCACCACCAGTAAGTGAAAATGGGGACGAGCACATAGGACGGCCTTACGTTAACATATCACCAGAATGATTGACAATTAGGAGGACCACTTATTTTGATGACCCACCCAGAAAAAGAACATCCTCCACTATACCTTTAAGTTTAGATTGATGTTGTGATTTAGCAATGGCTTACTCATTGATTTTGGTTTGTGTGTGCAGAAGTCATCCTTCCATCGTTCCCAGACACTCAGCTATAGGAATGGTTATGCTATGCCTCGCCGTCCTTCTGTAGGCATTGGGCAGGAACCTCTTCTATCAGAGCAACTAACTCAACAGCAAATCAATGAACTGACCTTTGAGAGATCAGACATTGCATACGCCACACAAGACAAGTCCCATTATGAGCAATTCATCCCAGCACATGTGGCGCTCTATCAGAAGGTCTAGTAGCACAAATAAAAATATTAAAAAGATGAACTTTTACCTTTCCCTATTAATGGTTTTATTTGGCATACTTTGCTTTAGACTCTTCGCTTTAATGCATACTTCTTGGAGGATGTCCCACAGTCCCCTGAAGAGGACTACCGTGTTCGCCCAGTGGTAATTTATTATTACCTTGAGGATGACAGCATGTGCATCATGGAGCCAGTAGTGGAGAATTCTGGGATGCAACAAGGGAAGCGACTTAAACGTCAACGTGTGCCAAAGAATGAACACGGGGAGCATTACCTGTGGAAAGACTTCAACCTGGGTATAGACCTGGAGATGTACGGGGTCAAATACCACATAACGCAGTGTGACGCATTCACTAAGGTACGGCCCTTACCACAGTTATCCCCTCTGCATGCCTCATAGCACAATACTTCCAGGTCTGCTGGATTTAATATACTTTCTCTGTGTCTCACATCCATTGTGCAGGAATTCATGGAGAGTGAGGGCATAGTTTTGAATGAGCCAGAACCCACGCCCGAAGATCCTTATACCAGACGTCGTAATAAGCCAAGTGCACAAACTTCCCGGACTACCGGTTCTACATTTGACAATTTCCAACGTTTTCCTTACACAGAAAACATGGTGAATTCATGTCTTTTTAGTTTAATTTATCAGTTCAAAATGCACATCTAGACTGCAGTAATTTTTAAGGACTTTGTTAACATCACATGTGCAGCTTCTGTTGCACCAGATTATTTAATTTTTTTGTTTTTACACAATAAAAAAGCCTTTTAAACCTAATAAAAGCCTGATAAACAAAAGGTTTAGTGAGTTGAAATTACAGTCTGCTCTGTGAAGCTATCCAAAGAATAAAGACTTATTACAAAGTTTGTTAGCGTCTTTGCAACATCAAAATTACTTGATGATGGAAAAATGACATATAATCCACTATCTTGCATTTCCAGGACAGAATACTGCTGATATTGAAAGCATTAACATGGGAATACAATGGGATTTAATTTACTTCGGATGTAGCTTTAATTTGGGGCATAGTATTCAGATTTTTTCAGAAAATACTGATGTAATGTTTTCTTTTATACACAAAATAATTCTAGAAAAATGGGCAGGTTGGTTTTAGATCAAAAGACCAAACCAGGCACAACACCTGCCAACTAAAATCTGAGGTTACAGTTCAAACAGTTTGACTAAAATTAGAACATAATGCAACATTTAAATGCTAATATAAAAACCTGTCAATAGGAAAAAATCTCTTTTGAAGAACATATTCAGATAATGATTAAGTTCTTCATTTTTAATAGTGAGCCTTAATGTTAGGTTTAGGTCAACTTCCTTAGACGATTTTCTAATCTGTTCACGTTCTTTCTGATTTTGATGGTCAGGTGCTGCGATTCCGCGCCTTTCGGATTGAATCGAATTCTGCGCACAGGATTACCTGGCCTGTTGTCATTAACTATTACCTGGTGGATGACACGGTGAAGATCAGAGAGGTCCATGAACGCAACAGCGGGCAAGAACACTTCACTCTTTTCATGCGCAGACAGAAAATACCGAAAAAAATCAAATCAGGTAGGAGGCTTTTAGATGTGGAAGCATTTCTCTTTTGTTTGAACTTTGCTTTTAGGAGGTGTGGTTTATACCATCAGTGTAAACACTATTAGTCATGTAACATTGGCAATCTTATCTAGTTTAATGATTTATAATGCCTAAAAAGCTTGTAGAACAGATAAAAAAGTAGATAATTAAGTTTGGTTTCTTTAAGAGGTTTTCCCTAGCTGTGTGCTGGAGGTCCCCAAGGAGCATGTGGAAGAGTATTACTCCCCCAAAGACTTCCAGCTGGGTCAAACCATCAAGCTTCTGAGCCATCACTTACTGTTGCTCGACTTTGACAGCTTCACCAAAGATTATTACCAGAGGAACTACCCAGACATGGAGATGAAAGCTGTAGAGATAGAAAGGAAAGAGGAGGTTAAAAAGAAGGTATTTCTTTTCTTTTTTTTTCATAAATGCGGTTGTTTATTATAGATCATAATCCTTTATGGATCACATTATATTCAAGTGTGTTTACTTTTGCTCACACACACAGGAGATCCCACCTTACAATGGCTTTGGCTCCATTGAAGACTCTCTTCGAAATTGTTTTTCCTTAATCCCTGCACCTCCCAAAGTGAAATTGCTGAGATTAGAGGAGGACAAAGTGCTTCGCTACACTGCCCAGCTGGTGAGTTACAGTTTGTGAATTTGATGATGAATAATAAGTCCTGCATTATGGTGCTCATTTGGAGCTTTTAACAAACTATTTTACTTTTTTTTTTTAGATTAGAGTGGAATTATAATGCAGCTTGAAAACGTTAATGTATCTTATTATCAGGAAGTAGGTGATGGAAGTGAGTGAGGTTTTCTAATCATCACAGCTTTGAAATTATGCATCAAGGCCCAGACCTCACATTTTCTTAGATTTGCTTTAAGTTTAAGGAAAACTGAACTCATTTTGTGGGTATAAGCTTACTGTATTTATTGTGTGTAACTGAAAGTTAAATGCTTTAAAATGATAGGCCACTACTGCCAGTGAAGGGGGAGGACATAAGCTGTACCCATTACATTTTTGTGGACGTCTAAATATACTTTTCTGATTCTTGATGTACAGTTTTAGTGTTTTTAGGACAATAATTTTTTTTTTTTAAAAGGCATTGAAGTGTTTGTTGTACCATTATTCTTTCAGTGAAAAAAGAATGGTTGAAATGTAATAAATGATTCTTAAGTAAGTTGAATTACAAACAATGTTTACTGTTAGCCATGGTCTGGTAACAGGACGTTTAGGAGCGCAGCTCCGCCTGACATGAGCTTTCCTCTGTGATCCTTCAGGTATCCCCATATCCAGAGGATGCTGACCGGCAATTTGTTCTGTCCTACCACCTCTTAAACGACATGATCAGTATTTTTGAAAAGCCAGTGCGCAACTCTGGCATCATAGGTGGAAAATTCTTAGAAAAGACCCGGGTTCCAAAACCAGGCTCCAGCGTGGATAATCCTGAGTTCTACTCACCTGCAGACTTTGCTATTGGAGCCACTGTAGAGAGTAACTCTCATTTAATTCTTTAACAAATATTTTTTCATAACTGCTGAAGACTTCTAGCACTATGAGAGTAGTATAAATATAGAATGCATGTTCAATAAGTTAATCCCAGCAGCAGTTAATTGCAAACATTAATGCAGAGTTTACTGTTTTTTATCAGTTTTCAGCCATCGCTTCGTTCTGACCAACACAGAACACAATGTGCTCAATTATTTGGAGTCCAACTCAAGCCAGATACCTTCTCAGACTTTGGACTCGGTGAGACAGAAGCTAGGAGTGGAGGCAGCGAATAACAAGCCTAAGGAACAAAAAGGTAACCATTAAATCAGGAATTTTATAAAACGTACCTCATATTCTAAAACTGCATGCTTGCTTTATCTTCTTTACACCCAGTAGGTGTCAGAAATTAAGACTTTTGCTCTTCCTTTTCTTGCCAGATGAAGGACCAGTTCCCTGATCTAAAGGAAATCCTGTATATTTCTCCCAAAAATGAAACAATAAAATGTGTTTGGAGGAAGTATTCTTAACTAAATAAACCTATGCTACTGAATTAGATTTTTGTGGTGTGAAAATTCCTATTGCACATTTCTCCACTGAAACATTTAAGAATTTATGTCTCACCTAGATGCATCAGTAACCCTACTTCTGTGTATGCTGTTTCTATCATGTCATTTCCTGAATAAATTCTCATCAGTGTTCATGCAAACATTTATTTTCTCACTCAAAAACATGCAAACAAATCCATCAGTTTCAGACCAATGTATTTTTTTTAATAAAGTAACTGACAAAACAACAGGGAGAAAAATCAAATATGAAATGGCATGCGGTAACATCTACAGTATATATTTAATACAAATCTGTTAAGTGACCAGTGAGAAATGCAGGATTTTTTTTTTGTCAGTATAATATCATGTCATCAGTGATATGTTTCCGCACCAGTGGAGCGGAATAGGGGAAAAAAGCAAAGCGGACTCGATAGTACAAGCTGCAGTACAGTACTTATGTTTAAGAGTATGCAAAAACACATTCATTATGGAAACAATGCTCAGGGTTTTTTTTTTGTTTGTTTTTTTTAAACCACTCTGCAACAGTGTCCCTTAGTGTTGGATTGCAGGCTGTGTGGATATATAAAAACAATGGAATACTGATACAATGAGAGGAATAAATGCCTGTTGGGCTCAAAGGATGTCCTTAGATTTCCTTTATTTCCAGCATTCAAGCCAAAGTCTGCAGTAACCGAGTCCCTGTATCATCACAGGACATTCTCAGCCAAAACGTTGTGACCGGCGCTCCTCCCCTGGCTTCACTGCTGTGCCAATGAGAAACCTTAATAAGAGATGATGCCACCGCTGAAACCAGGAAGTGTGCCACTTCAAGGTGATTTGAGTTTCTTTGTCCGTGATGAAAGTCCATTCTCAGCTTTAAGGATGCCGTTTTCATGATGGCCAACTAGGAGGAAGATAAAAGAGAACGTTAGCATATCCACCTATGTTTTTAAAGTATGAGCAAGGCAAGCTGAGTGATTTATGAAAACTTTTTAGGCATGTTTTAAACTCACGGGAGTCCCTTTTTAATTGCCGTAAGGGTTGTTTGGTGGTAGCCTTCTTGCGAACCGCTTGTTCGTGTCTGAACTCCCTCCAGCGCCTTAGCTGGAAGCGGATAAACTTCCAGAGGAGCCAAGATTGAGTCAAACACACCACCAGTAGAACAGTCATCCTTAGCAAAAAAAAAAGGGGAAGATCAGTGTGACTATTAATGTGGAAATTTTTCTTTAAATGGGCAACAGAATTAAAACACTTTATGTTTTTGATTGGAGTTCTAGCTGTTAGTATGTGGCCAGGCAGTTGATTGAAATTACCACAGGAATATTAAATGGGCAGTAAATTTATCACAAAGAAACGCAAGTAAAAAATAAATTCTATGCCAATCTATGTAATTCTGTAGATAAATATAGACTTACAAAACGTATTAATAGAAAGCATTTCAACATACAATATCAATGCAGTTTACTGTAATGATACAGTATGGTTTACAAAACCTAACAATTTTTTTAATAAATATGCTCATGCTCAGTAGGATGGATGGACAGCAGCTTAACAGTAATTCTCAATTCTTTACATGTAGATTTATGTTCAAACCTTTAAAACATTTTTATGCATTGATCTAAACCACTGATTCTACCTGGGGATACGCATACCCCTAGTGGGCTAAGAGTGCATTGCAGGGGGTACATGAAAATATTTTATTTCCCATGTAGTAAAATAGAATAGGGCTGGGATCTGTTTTGCATTGTGAGGAGCCAATTGAAAAATTAAAAAAAGCTTTTATTAACCAAAAAGTAAGTTTTTATCATATGTTTGAGTTCACCTTCAGCTTTGACATCAAAACCAAGCAAAGGAACAGACGGGATGTAGAGAACAGCCTGGTATCTGCTGTTTTTTTTACACTGAGCTATTGGAGCCCATCAAAGCAGCTTTCAGGTGTTGTGATAAAAACTAAGTAAAACTAATTAAGTCAGTCTGACTATAAATTTTGTTCTGTATTTTTTTCTCCCAATTCATCAAGAATCCTTAGGTTCTGAGTTGGAGCCACTGTCTTTGACTGTCACTGAACAAAACCCTTAATCCCAGATAGGTCCCACGATGACAGCCCACTGCTTCCCAACGGCATGGGTTAAATGCTGAGGTAAATTTCTCCCAAGTGAGATCAATAAAGTTAAAAAAAATAAATAAATAAAGAAAAAAAAAAGGAGTTTAAATGTGATTATAAGGAAATTACTCAGAGGAGCTCCAGTTTAATACAGGTTTATAATAGGACTTTATTTTGCATTCATTTTAATTCCTTACTAACTTCCTGGCAACATATTTACATTTTAAATTTGAAATGGAAAACATAAAATGATAAGAATTAAATGTTCAAATTAAAAGATTAAGTAAAATAGTCTTTATTATATAATCAGTTATTGTATGTTCCATCTTCGGGTCATCATCAATACTTTTGACTGAGAGGGATGCTCACGGTAAGACAAAACTCCCAAAGGGGTACACAAGTCAAATAAGACTAGTAAACACTGGTCTTAATTATTCTATTGTAGCTCTATGTTAAAGCTAAGCTGAACTTTCAGGATTGCCTGTATTTAGCTTCATCTATAAATAAGCACACGGTTTAAAATGCCTCTATGTGGAAGAGTAACCAGTTTAAAGCCACAAAGAGGAAATATGCAAGGTATTGTTCATGTGCCGAGCAACACAATCATTCATGCACATCTTTTTTATTTTTAACTAATCCTTTGTTTAAACTCTCTTGAAGTTTTGCTTTTTCATTATAGGAAGACCCCACAAATTATATTTTACTTCATAGTACTGTTGCATGAAACATAAGTAGAAAGGAGAACCATGTGTGTATTTGTCCCAAACTTTACATTAAACTACAAGATATTTCATTCTTCTTTTATTTATAAATAAAGCTGAATCAAATGCAGTGGGTTTTTTTCGTAATGACTTCATGGTAGCAAAAAAGAACATAAAGGAGAGAAAAAATATAAATATATTTTTTTTCTGAGTAATTTGGGACAATAGTTGTTTTCAAAATGAGTAAATTCTTCTACACTAGGGATATAAGGGACATTTTAGTCAATCAATTGAAGAAAAAAAAACAACTAAACTTTAACCCACCTCAAAAAAAAAAAAAAAAATCTAAGATTTTTTCTCTACACATTTTCAGGATTAGATATGATGTGACATACACTCCCCCTCTACAGTAAGTGTTGTTAATATGAATATTTTTGCCAGCAGTCTGACCCAAATGTGGTTTCAAAATCTTTTAGCCATTCCTGTCCTTAAGATGTGCAAAGTTTATGGAGAATGTTTTTTTATAACTCAAAGGAGCCTAAAGAGGGCCTCACCTTATCAAAACAGTGTTGAAGTTCCCCAACTCCACGTCGAGCCCCTGATTCTCAGAACGGGCCAAACCAAAGCCAACAGCGAGGAACATCAAGGTCAGAGTGGCCATCCGTGTAAACACAAAGCTCACCGCCCACAGATCAAACCTGAGCCAAGACAGCAATGTGGCATCGTGGCAGTAAATAAACATTTCACAGCTAAATGAATAAGCCTATTAAGGAAAGGAACCACTTACATTTTTTGATGATTCTCATCAGTAAAGTATAAGAGTCTGGCGATGTGGAAGCCCAGTTCTGTTACGTACTGGAGAAAGAGTAGGACCAAGCCCACACGATTCAAACTAAACATGATACAAGAGAAAAAAGATTGTAAGATATACAAGCAAAACCACAAACCGTCAGAGCTTATGCAAACTTTGCCACAGAGATAAAACTTTATAACAGCTTCTCACAGAAACTTACTTTAACAAATAAGCTGCAGAGATGTGCAGCAGATAGAGGCAGATGTACTGCAGCTGACGAGGAATCTCCTCCTGGAAAAAAAAGAATCCTTTTTAATATCGTACTAGTTTCCCATACCTCCCATGACATTAACCCTTATTCTGTTAAACGCATCTGCAGTGAAATGATACAAGACCTCCAAAGAACGAATTATAAACAGCTTATCTAGTTACTCAAGAACTCCTCCCATTCCCAGGGCCTCACCGACTGACTGACCTTGCGTACTTTCTGGAAGTAGAGCTCTGGAAGAGCGTGGAGCCAGTAAGCCAGCTGGGTGAGGTAGAAAAACTTCACCTGAAACCTTGAGAGTAAATACAAGACAGGGATTAGCTGTGGGTGAATTAAAGACATGGGTGGGGGAAAAAAGCAAGGATGTTTCAGCATTTCTTTGTATAAAATAGCAGGTTTACTTCTGTTCAGATCAGAAATATACAACCTCCTAATGTGTTTACATTACTGGGAAGATTAGTGCAACATTAAGTTGCTTTTTAAAAGTGTAGAGTGTATTTATGAGGGGAAACATATGAATTTAGTACAAATATGAGAAGGAGGTACCACAAGGAATCTCTGTTAAATTTATATTTTATTTCAAAGAACATCGTGCTATTCCATTTTGCCTAAGGTGAGGTTGATAAGGACACAATTTGGAGGATTTAGCCATTTCCCTAACAGGAGGTTGGGTGAGGACCTCAAATATAGAGTTTTTTTTTTTAAACTATTTTTAAACACTGCTTGTTCCATATGTAGCAAACAGACAAAGCAAAAGAACAAAGGAATAATAAACAGTATATTTGCCTCTAAACATCACTGCTGTCCAGTTCTTTGCAGCCTGAATTAAAACAGACACGTCTGAACATGAAGAAAATACTTTTAAACAGCTAAACTAATAGCTTGGAGTCTTGTTACTTAGGGAAAACATCCATATTGCAAAATATTGTCAATGTGACATGCAAGCACCAGGTAAAAAAAAAAAATTAAAATAAAAAATCCTGTTATGCAGGAGGATTTTACTTATTTCACTTAAAGACATTTAAATAATTTACCTTTATGTAAAATTATTTTTTTTTATACAACTTTTCTATATACGATCTTTACCATTATAAAAACAATCAACTATTTATTCTTTTGAAAGAGAAAAAAAACAGAAACTTAATAAATATTTACCTGAGGTGTGAATGTGGGTAGTGCTCCCAAAGGCTGCTAGGGTGCAGGAGATATCCTTCCTTTGAGAAAAGATCAGAACAAAGATCACATGAAACCTTCAGGCAGCTTAATATCTCTATTTAAGAGTTAAGGAGCATAATAAAATTGGAAGTGTGACGCTTTATTTTAAACTTACTGTAATGAGGATGTAAAAACTCCACACGCTTGACACTAAATGAAACACACACAGCTGACCCGACTCATTGAACTTGGTGTTTTTGCTCTTGGACAGGTGAAGGCGGCGGTTCACTTTCTGTGTCGGGAACAAAAGAAAAGATCATGTGAGTGACACTTGATCCTGTCATAATGGCAGTCACCGTCATACACAAGGAAGTGTCACCGTCGTACAAAAAAGAAAAAAAATAAGTAGGGCAAGAAGATACAGCCGGGACTATTTATGGCTGCTGCTGAAACACTCTTCTAAAGAAGTATTCCTTTCAAGACACCTTAGAAAGCCGGAGAAGGTACTAAAATAAAATTAAATCCTCCCCAGTGACACATCTCTCAAGGATGATAATCAGAGAAGTATTTTTAAGACACATCAACTATGGTCCACTCATACAGTAGGGTGTTTAAAATGAGCTTGAAAACATTTTTTAATGGAGCATGAGTCACGTTTTTTATGCAAATCCAATGAGGGCGAGAAGAAAATACTTTTAATACATGTTTAATTAACATGAATACAAGTATATCAGCAGTTAAAGAAAATCAGTATATTAATACATATAGTATAAAATATTTCATAGAAGTATTTGTGTAGTAATTAATACAGTTTTGTGCTTAAAAAATGCACAAGGCAGTTAATTGCTTACATCCAGAAGATACTCCTGCACTACAGCATGGAGGATGATAGCGATGAAGAAATAGAAGAGGATGGTGGCTCCGTCCTTCCATCCATAATGATACGTAGTCACCTCTCCCTCTAAGCACACACAGGAGGGGTGAAAAAAAACAAACAAAAAAAACAAAACACATAGGTCTGTTAAAACATCCTGGAGAAGCTGACTGCTTTCATAAACAATTCAGAACCAATAATGCAGAGTATCTGTTTAAAAGAAAAGCAGAAGTCAACTGTAAAGGTCACACAGAAGTGAGTTTAAAAGCCACCTCATACCTAGTGATAATATGGTGATGTTGTATTGAGGCTGAATGAAGAGTATGGCTGTCTTTGCTGTTGCCTGGAAAGGAAATTAGGAAAAAAAATAAATAAAAAAAGTAGATTTTTTTTTTAAAGCAGCCTGAAAAAAAAAAATAAAGAATTATCATAACAAAATTACATCTTCAATTATTCTTTTTCTTAGCTGTAACAGATAAAGCAAAACTGTGATGGAGGTGTGCTACAGTTTCATCCATTTGAGCCAAAATGCACATTTTTCATATCATCTGGCAAAAGCAATATTTTTCCTCATGTTAAAATTATTCCTATGAGGCAGAAACAGCTGGTGAAACTAGATTGTCTGGATTAGCACTAATATGAATGGAAATTGGAGCCAACTGTAACCCACACAATTGATCTCCACTCAATAAACCTTCCGAGGCCATGATGCTGCCACCACCGTGTTTCATAAATGAAATGGAGTGTCCTTGAAGATTTACAAGTTTAAGTTTCTGCCACAGATGGGGTTTTCTTTAGTAGTTTTATTCTCTTTCTATCCATGCCAAATAAGTGATGGAACTGATTATAAAATAGCTTACAATAAATGATTTTAAAAAGACTGATTTAATTTGCACCTATGTTTTCCCTGTTGAAGAAATCTATACCCCAAGCAATATACAGCCATCAATCAGAAATACTTTAATAATCCCAGAGGGAAATTACTCAAAGCTGTGCTTTAGGTGATGTGCTCTTAAGTTTTCCACCAACTTTTGAAAATAGTCCAAAAAGTTCTGATTTAGTAGCTGCTCTCACAATCACTAACAGGTGATGTAACTGGATCAGAGCCTGACCAAGTTGGAATTTTTTTAGAAATGAGGCATGTTTTCCTTGCAAATTGCCCCAAGATAAGGTTCACTGCTATCTGATATGAGAACTAAGTATGCAGTAGCTAATGCTCATATTAGGAAGATGAAATTTAGAGTGTTATTCTAGAAGCTCAATTATCCAAAGGTAGTGTGTAAAATTAACTCAATCCTTGATTCTGTTTTATGTAGTGCAAGCTGCAAAGCAAACACCATCTGTTGATAAAGACATGGATTTGCCTACACTGCTTTTCTTCTATTATACGACCTGTTGGAGCAAAATCTAGAAATCAATATAATGTGCACAGTTCTCCTTTTCTTCTGAAACTAAAAAAAAAGAAAAAAAGAAAAAGGAAATCCCCTCAAAGTGATTCTCAACTCAGCCAGCTGTGTGATCAGAGCCAGAGTTCCGGATAGAAACTTTAAATACCCAGGGGTTGGGGGCTGTATAGCAGTCCTCTAACCATCTAACTCAATGTCTGCCTTGAAATCAGGTCTGGTCAAGAGAGCTGCTAAAGCCATAGTGGCCAAAAGCAGCGGATTAGAGTGAGACGTGGCAGCTAACTTAACAGATCAAGCAGCCGTAAAAAGAAAAGCTAACAACTTCCGGTACAGCCTTTCAAAATTAAACACAAACTGTTTCAGTTAGTGAAGCACAAGTTATGTGCTTTTATTTTTTAAGTGGAAACAGTCCAAATTCCGGTAAATTTAAATTATTGTTGCAGTTCGTAAAGTTTGTTACAACACAACGTTTACTGGAAATAAGCTTTTATAAAATAGAAAAAAATAATAATGACAGGAACCCCAGCAGGTAATATCCTATATATTTGATTTATGCTAAAAATATAAAGTTTAATTTCGCCTTTTAAACACTAAGAGAAAACACGTATGATTTATCTATAAAAAGCTTCTTCCATATAATGTTGTTTTGTTCTGCATATATCTGTGAAGTAGTTTTAAATTGGTGGAGCTCTCGCGTGAGAAAAGCAGCACTTATTGCTAACATAACTGGTTAGGGAAGCACATTAAACAGTTGTGGACGAAACTGTGGTGCAGTTTGCATTCAATCGATTGAGCAGCAGCATTCCTGCTCAGATCATCAGACAGACAGACCTGCATTCTTAAAACAGCTGAGGGAGACAAACAAGGGAAGAAAGGAAAGAATCAGAGTCCATCTCACCTCAAACATCAGCCCGATCAGAATGAAAATCACCAAACTGAACACGATATCTGCATGATTCTGGATGAGGAACTCCTGGCTGAAGAACGGGTAGCTCTTGTTTCTCCGGCGGAATGCCATGTCAGCTCACTGATTTTATAAATCTGAAAAAAAATTCGGCTCGGCGAAGTTCAGGAGTTAACTTTCGCGGCGTTTTGCGCATGCGCGTCTTCTTAAAGGGCGAGCGCCATAAATACCTTTAAGGCCCCTGGGTTCCACAGCCTGTAGGGGACATTAATTAGGCCCTTTAAGGCAAACCTTTTAACTCAGGTCGATTAAAAAAAACAAAAACATTTTTTTTCACTTTACAGTCATCTTTAATAGTCAGAGGCGTCAAAAGTACACACATTTGTTACTTAAGTAGAAGTATAGATACTGAAGTTTAAAAACACTTGAAGTATCAACTTAATCTGTGTACTCAAGTAAAAATAAAAAAGTATGTGCTCCAAAAACTACTTAAAGTATAAAAGTATAAAGTAACCTTAAAAAAACAGCCAGATGCCACAAAGCTCTTTTTTTTTGACTATTTTGAAAAATTCTTTAAGATGGGGCCAAGGATGAGGGAGGTCTTGTTGGTCTCCATCTCCCGATACGCTCTCGCTTGTGTCCCACCTTTCAGACATTTCAACATCTTTTTCTGAATCCGATATTGTAGCATGGCATAGACAATTCACTTTTGAAATTTGATGAACACCTGCTTCCATATGATGATTTTCTTTAGCTAACCAAAGAGTGTGCGTTATGACTCATCCAATTACACTAGTTTTCACTAGATGTGGATGGATGCAATGATCTGCAATGGATGCCGCACAAAATAGATATTTATAAACATTAAACCAAAACCAAGAGTAACGAGTAATGTTTGTTTTAAAAATGTAAGGAATAGAAAGTACAGATACTTGTGTGAAAGTGTAATGAGCAGAAGTCAGAAGTAGGAAGAAAAATAAGTAATCGAGTAAAGTATAGATAACTAAAAAGTGTACTTAGGTACAGTAGCAAAGTATTTGTACTTTGCTACTTGACACCTCTGTTAAAAGTACAGGTTACAGACATAATGAATGAAGTGAACGACTTATAGAATGCAATAAAAAGTGTGTTTATACTTTTTTCCAATTATATAATGTTTACATTTTTGCTGCATGGATAAAACGGGCATGAAACATTTCTGGACATTTTAAATCGTCCCCCAAAACAGAAAAAAATTTAAGATTAAATTGGTGAATCAATAAATTAATTGTGTCTTTAATGTCGCTTGTTATGTCACACTTTTGTAGAAACGTTCATTAAAGTGCACTGATGCTTTTTGTTATAACATGACAAAATGTAGAATTTAAGGGTTTTAAATACTGGTGTCAATCTAAGTGGAATAAACAAAGCCCTGCTTCTATGGTTTATATCAAACATATTTTCTAAAAGAGCTGCACGTATCTTTAGTTCTTTATTTTACATGTCGTTAATACAACAAAAAGACAAGTATGGTTTCAATATGTAAAAAAATAAAATAAATAATTTTTAGTGATAGTTTGACCCAACAGTTAAGGAATTATAAATATCATGGGAGTAAAAAAATCCCACAGTAGATTCAAACTTTGAACCACAGTGGTTCAAAGTTTTCTATGTAAGGAAAACCAGCTGATTGCATCGATTTATTTACTCAAAAGCTATCCCTCACACCAAGCATGCACGGAGCAACAGTGGGGAGAAAAAAACCTCACATTTCACAGGGAGAAACCTTCAGCAGAACCAGACTCAGTGTGAGCGGCCATCTGCCGAGGCCGCCTGGGGTTCAAGGAGACAGAAGCAGACATACAGAAAGAAGCAGATGTTCAAAAGGTAACTGCTAACTAGCTACACGGGTGGTCCTGTCCATGTAAGAGACAGCAAGGCAGATGAGCACTTATTCCCACGTCAGAGGATGAAAGAGAGCACATACAGTTAGTCATATAAGAGAAACAGGTCTACACTGAAAAATCTATCAACAAAGATGTTGATGGCAGCAGCACAGCTGAACATTTTCTCCAGGATTGTGTTACAGCCAAAACTGAGCCTAAGCCTATGGCAGCATAACTGTTGAGGTAGCTCAGAATAACCTGAGCCAACTATAAGCTTTATCAAACAGGATAGTTTTAACCTTTGCCTTAAAAGTTGATAGCTTACCTCATAAGACTAAAACTGGTAGTTGGGCCCAGAGGAGAGGAGGCTAAAAACTAAAAGCTCTGCCTCCCATTCTACTTTTAGGAATTTTAGGAACCACTAGTAAAGTGGCAGATTATAGCTCTAATAGAGCAAAGTGCTCTAATAGTTACATTAGGAAAAATCTGATCCCTGATTAAAAATTAACTTTGTTATTTACAGTTTTATATGTGAGAAGGAGGGTTGTAAATTATATCCTGGATTTAACAGGAAGCAAATTAAGAGAAGCTAAAATAGGAGAGATATGATCGCTCTTTTTAGTTTTCATCAGAACTCTGGCTGCAGCATTTTAGATTAGCCGAAGGCTTTTAACTACAGTTTTTGGACTTCCTGATAGTAAAGAATTACAATACTACAGCCTTGAAAAAACAAATGCATGGACTAGTTTCTAAACATTACCTCTGGACAGGATGTTTCTAATATATGCAGTATTCTGTAGATGAATGAAGGAAATTTAAGAAACCTCTGGGATTTAAATGATAGGTTGTAAAAAAAAAAATAACACCAACATTTTTAACTTTACTATCTGAGATCAGTTTAATCCAATCAATATGAAGCAAATTATTAATTAACTTATTTTTTTAAGATTCTGGTCCAAAGACAATAACTTCTGTTTTGTTTGCATTCAGATGCAGAAAGTTTACAGCCATCCAGGATTTCATGTCTTCAAGACATGCCTGTATTCTTTTTAAAGGGTTGGTTTTATTAGGATTTATGGACAAATATAGCTGAGTATCATCAGCATAACAGTGGAAGGTGCTATGCTGTCTGATAAGTCTATCAACTAGGATATATCTAGTAAAAAGAAACCCCCTAGCACTGATCTGATCCCTACCTGGAATATTAAGAAGGCTGGACAAGGTCTGAGATTCTCCAGAGTATTAACTTTAAGGCATTTATAAAATGCTTTATTAGGGATGATGATAATACTGGAGAAAAATGTAATTAGTTGGAAAGGAAATTCAAAAATTGAAAAAAAAAAAAAAGACAAGAGGCAAAAACCTTATTTCAGATCACTAGAATTAGAATGAGGGACAAAAAAACATGAATGGGCTATTAGTACTTAGTTATCCTACAAACTATTTTAAAAAATCAATACATAAAAAAAAGAAGTCTAGACACTCCAACATTTAGGCTGTTTATTGCTCATTTCAAGCCACCAGTGGCCTCACACATCAAAGTTCGTAATGCCACAAAGGCATTTTTACACTGCTTTCTTGTTTCAGAACAGTGCTTCAAATAAAATCTTGTCACTTGAAAATAGCAATCAAGAGCAAATAAATAAAAAAGTCACCACAAATATCTCATCAGCATATGGTTCATTTCATGTCACAGCAGATGATTTTTTTGCCTGAGAGATTAGTTGTTTTTCAACATAATGCTTTTTTTTAAATTATTTATATAGCAATTACATGGTCAACATGTAACAGAAATAAAGTATATAAAAACATCACAGTTTTCTTTAGATGAAACACTACCTCTGATCAAAGCAATGCCATTTAACACAATATGAGAAACAAAGCTTACTAATATCAAATGAAAGTATGAAGTCTTGCTTGTTCAGAAAAATAAAATAAACGGCATCACGGCAGAAAACAAATAATAGACATTAAATATACTTGTGCTTTAACTAAGCCATAAAGCTATGGCTTGCATTGAGATAGTTTAAGAGGTCAGACACTCCGCTCCCTGTTAGATCTGTATGCACTGTGCCATCAAATAATGTTGCACTGATAACTGAAACTCTCGATTGTTTAAGAATAATGAGCTGCTCTACATTTCCAAATTGTTTTTAATGCAACTAATGTATACAGTGCCTCGAATAAGGACTCATACCCCCTGAATCACGCTAAACATTTTCATGTTATAACCATCCTATTTATTGTCATTGGAATTACACACAATGACAATTGTCGATATCCCTGGTTTGATGAAAGAAAAATCCAAAACGGTCACAGTAATACCTTGGATCTGACAAAAGTAACATTAAATAAAAATCTGTGAAAGTCAGACATTGATTTTCAACCATGCTTCAACAGAATTGTTTAAAAGACAAGACCTCATGAAGAAGTCTCGACAAATATGATAATACCCCTAAAAGAGACTGAAGACAATGTTATACCAAGGTACCAAGGTGTATCCACTAATTAGATCACAGGTGTCTACAATCTTGTAATCAGTCAGTGGGTCTATTTATGATATCATGTGATATCATACATGGTATGATATCATACTTAACATTGACTGAAGGAAGTAAAGGAAAGCATCTCCGGAGGTTTGAAAGGAAAAAACCTAGACAAGCGTGTTAAAGGTAAAGCCTAAAAGACCATCTCCAAGCAGCCGGCTTGATGTTCCTATGATTACAGTTGCACATATTATTCAGAAATTGAAGTTCCATGTGACTGTAGCCGACCTCCCTTGAAGGAAAACTGATGACAGATCAGAGAGAGACAGATAATTCAAATGGTAACAAAAGAGCCAAGAAAAACTTCTAAAGAGATTAGAGGTGAACTTCAAGCTCAAGGAACATTAGTGTCAGATTGCACCATCCATCATGGTTTGGGCCAAAATAGACTTAATGGAAGATGACCAAGGAGGACACCATTGATGGTAACGAATCATAAAAATGGCAGACTGGAATTTGCCAAACAGGCCACAAAGCTTCTGGGGGATATGTCCTGTGGACAGATGGGACAAAAATTTAACTTTTTGCCAAGGCACATCAGCTCTTTACCTTCCAAGCAATATGAATTGTTGCTGGTTTGCAAATTCACAAACTGCCTCGCATACAAAATAGAGAAGTATTTCTAAGCAATGAAATGCAGTGATGTGTATGGCGTCAACCAGAAGCTGCAGGCTAAAGCAAAACATACATGGCTGCACCGGTTGACGTACTTGTAGACTCCGCTATTTAGTCTGTTTTAGCTAGAATACCCTCTATGTCTTCTTTTTTTTTTTACGATCAAAAGGACATGATTTGTGCCTTTGTGGATTGGAAAGGTGTTTCCATATTCCTCCCAATCGGATTTGCTAGGGGTTTGATGTATTATTAAATTTGCAAGTTGTTAAACAACTCAAGATATGACACGCCACAGCTGCTACTGCTGCAGCGATTGGGTAAAAGCTCAACATGGGGCTGGAGCCAGGTGGTGATTTACCCAATCAGCTTGAAAAAATGTACTGCATGTCCCTCCCTTTTGTAAACACTTTCCATGGGAGCCTTTCTAACTTAATACTGTGTAGAATTCAAATTAAGCTACATGCATCAATCTGGTGAATGCCAGGTTCATCAGCTCTATTTTCACAGATGGAAAAATTAAGCGCAACAAGAAAAGAGTTCTGAAACATGGAGGAAGCTCTGTTATGGTCTGGGGCTGCTTTGCTTCCTCTGGCACAGAGTGTCTGAATCTCTGCAGGGTGCAATGAAATCTCAAGACTATCAAGGGATTCTTGAGGGAAATGTCCCAGAAAGTTTCAGAAAGTCAAGTCACAGGTCATGGGTCTTGCAACAGGAAACATTAGACAATTCTGAAGTGGCTATCTATAAGCCCTGACCTAAATACTAATGAGCATAAAGAGCGGGCCAAAATATCTGCTGAGATGTACAGAAGTCTCATTTAGAGTTACAGGAATTGTTTAATTGGAGTGATATCCTCAAAAAGTTGAGCAACAAGATATTAAGATATTTTTGTCAGGTCCTGTTTCATTAGTTTCTTTATTTTAAAACTATGTGTTGAACTTTTATTAAAAAGCAATGTCTGAACTTCAATCAGAGTGATTTCTGTGATTTTTGTTACAATCGTGGATTTTTCTTTTAGTAAGCGAAGGCACCCACAATTTTGGCCATAATAGTTAAGTGAAAGAGAAAGCTTTAACAAGTTTTTATTTAATGTCTTCTTTAATCTCCCTATATTCCAAATACCACAAAGACCCAGCCTGGATACAGTAAATCAGTAAGGACCCTTTAGCCAAAGCAGTTGCCATGATAAGAGCTGGGTGAAGAGTGCTGGCAAAACAGAAGTAGATAAGAAAAATGCTTCCTATCTAGGCAGTAAGCAGCTATAAGGAATCCCACAATTCTTTGGGTGACAAGACATAAAACCACACTTTCTTCATGTGTAATGAGGGTGTATGACATGCAAATGTACACAGCTCCATACATTATGGTTTGTATTTTGTAGAGCTTTAATTATTTGCTACATTTGTATAACTTGAATTTTTGTATTTCTTTTTTCTGAAAGGTTGAAGTCTCAGATTTTGCTAGCTTCATCCATGTATTTCCTTTTCGTAATGAATTGCAAGTTTAATGAATCCTTTCCTACCCATGATAGAGAAATAGGTGATAATAATAGCTAGGTAGGGAGCTTGGAGCTCCGATTTGCTGTATTCGGAATGAGCCAAGCTCTAGTAAGCCAAAATTCCTTCAAAAGGCACCTAATTAGCATATGTGTAGTTGATCTGTTTGTCATTTCATCCCTGTATAAACACAGCTGTTCTGTGAGCAGTGACTTGTTGGAGAACATATACAACACATATACAATCCAAGTTAAGGACAGTTTCAAAGGTTTCTAAGTGATCCACCCAAACTGACAGGATGACTTTAGTTCCAGCACAAGATAAATGGTGTCTGTTACAGTTGCCTCAAGAAACCTGTAGTTGAAAAGGTCAAAAGAAGTTTCTTTTGCAGTTTATCATGAGATTATCTGTTGTCAGGCAAAGAAAAGGTAACTTTTTGACCAACATGGAAAGTCAACAGAAAATTACCACTAAACCTGTTTACATGTGAAACCTGCATCTTGCTGTCGAGATTCCTTACGTTGGTAAGAAAAGAGAAGCTGGTCAGAGGTGATGGGCTTATCAAGGGAGTATATAAGGGAAATTCCTGAAAGAAAACCTTGTAGAAGCCACAAAAGACTTCAGAGTAATATGTGGGATCACCTTTCAGCAGGTAAATAACCCTAATCTTACACCTTAGACTGTGTAGATCTAAGTACCTTTATAGGTTAGAATGGTCCAATCAAAGTTTAAATCTTCACTGGTTAAGAATCTGTAGCAACTGAAAAAAACTGATATGTAGAGATGTTTCCTGTTCAATATGACTGAGCTTGAGAAAAATACACAAGAAAGAAAACACTCTAAATGCAAGTCACATTTCTGATTTTAACTAACAATAACTTTTATTTGATTATACAAATCCGTATAATTACCTAAAATTATAATACCATTCCAGGGTTTAGTAAAGTAACCTGAAAAAAGTAGAAAATATCAAGGGGTATGCGTACTTTGACAAGGCACTGCAATTCCCAACTAAGTAATCACAGTCGTAAAGATGCTGCTTTTGTTTTTATGCACAGTATAATTCCAAAGTTAATACTATAATATAGCTGCCAAAAATTAGCATAAATACTTCTTGAAAGTGGGGCACGAGGTGTGCGTATGCATCATCCCTGTTAGTGGAACATCTATTTTTTCTTTTCAAGTTTTCCTTTTAAAAGGGTGTAACTCACCCCAGAATCCTTTTTTTTTTGCATTTAAGCTGTATAAACTAGGCTCGTGGGGTGCTATTTCAATGCTATAGTTTATTTTCTGTACATTTTTATGTGAGATTTCAACTCCATTGCTGTCAAAGTGGTTGTATGCTGGTTACTGCAGTTGAATTTCCCTATTGGTCCAAATGGTATATGCTGGTACACACCTTTGTCGCAGTGACAGGAATTCGGGACCATAGTTCTGTGTTTGGGTATAAAGCCAGCTGACTCAGAAATCCTATTGTCCACTGCATTAGCAGCACCGGCTTTGGGTATCGCTGAGTCAGCACCTTGAAGCAGAGTCCTGAACCGGGTCGAGTACTCAGCAGGTACCCGTATAAAACTTACATCTACAAGTAGAATAAAGCCCACATTATTTTACAAGTGTGGGCATGGGTATATATGAACAAAATGTGGGTATCATAGAGTTACAGTAGGAATGAAACTTACTCAAATTTTCTTAATTATTAACTCTATATCTTAAAAAATAAAATGATTTAAGAATATCCAGATAACATGTTTTTTTAAGCAACAAGGCAAACCTTCTTACTTCGGCCAATTTACAGCTGTTAATCTGTGGGCGCAGAGCACACTGCCTCTTCTCTGCTTCGGTTATTATAAACAGCCCCGTTTCAGATGTGATCAACCATTAAATGGCCATTATTAGCGGTTATGAGTCGCATTTAATGGCTCCAGGCTGCCCCTCCTCTACCTTCTAGTAGGATTCTTATGGTTGATAATATGCAGCTTTTCTTTGATATCAGCTGCTGCAGCCGTGTCTGAAACCTTAAAGGTATAGTGGAGGATTTTTTATTTCTGGGTGGATCATCAAAATAAGAGGTCCTCCTAATTACCAATCATACTGGTGATATGTGTTTGTAAGGCCGTACTACATGCTCGTCCCTAAGTTCCTATCTTTTTATGAGTATATTTTTGGTGAGCTACGGTTTCAGACATTCATTGAAGCTCGCCTTTCTCACCGCGGTTCTTTGAAAATGGCCGAAGGTTGTAAGAGAAAGTGTATGAGAAGAAGAGAAAGGCCTCAGAAAAGAGAAACAAGACCAGATTGGTTTTGGGAGATTCTTTCACACGATGGCGTACGCTGAAGGTTGGGCTCCCACTGATGCCTCCGCTGCTAAGTTTCTACTTGACAGGTAAAATTTGGTATGCTATTTGGAGAAATCCATTTCACATCACTGCTAGTAAAAGTTATTTATCTCTATATTGTAAGTTTGCACAGAAGATAAGTTTATTTATTTTGTTAGTCGCATTGTTGTAGTTATACGGTAGCCACCAATCCTTATTTACCCCACAAACACGTCCAAATTTCCACTGTAGCACGCACACATGTACAAGCATGATTTTTCTTAATGCACCAATAGTTTTATTTTCGGGGAAACATTTTTCTATGTAAATATGGGAGAGATGACATCCATCCAAGTGACAGCCTTATCATTGTGTTCCTCCCCACACCTCCTAAAAGAGAAATTGGCTCGTGCATGCTCTTCCACGTGTTTGTAGGAATTCCCTCTAGGGAGCGGGTACAGGGTTGTGAATGTTCCTTTCTTTTTTTAAATGGAGAGGGCATTTCTTTTAAAAAATTCACGAAAATTTATTTACCTACTTAGTACTTTTTGTCTACTTTATTTACAGCATACCTTCTTTCAAAAAAAGCTGTTTTAAAGCTTTTCTGAAGCCATTCTGGGACTGATAACTGCTAATAACGGCCATTTAATGGGATGATAACATCCAAAGTGGCTGAAGCGGCTGTGTTTACACTTTATGATCACGGGTCGGGTCGCACTTTATTATTAATGGTTCCGAGCCGTCCCGGCCAAGTTTTAAATGAGGATAATTACGGGTAATGGGTAGTGTTGCACCGATACCGTTATCAGGCGGGGCCCCGATCCAGCACCAAAATGGTGCCATCGCTATCGGCGAGTACCAACAAATAGGGCACCGATACCATTTTGAGAGCCAAAAGTTTATTCAACTATTGTCACCCATTGCAGGTAGGCAATAAAAAGTTCTACTGGATTCACTTTGTATTAGTCTTTTTCGACCTTCATAAAGGAAGGCAGCAGCTTGAAAAAGCCATGATGGCAATTATTTTACATCAAAATAGTATGCAGTTCTTCAAATATACACACACACATAAATTTCACACAGATGGTATCAGTATGGTATGGGTATCAGCCAATACTGAACAGCCAGGTATCGGGTATCGGTTTCGGGGGCAAAAAATGGCAACCGCCAACACTAGTAATGGGTCAGGTCTCAGTTCTGAACTCTACAGGTGCAGGTGGATACAATTTTGAAAAATCAGACCCATGCAGGACTCTGCCTTAAAGCAATCAGCTCAAAGTGATAAGACTCTGGTCCACTGCCTCACATCCATCTGTGCCATATCTCCCAGCATTAATCTGCTCACTGTCTATGTTACGCCCCAGCACTCATTTCCACACTTAGCCCTGCCACTCAGATTCTCTTTTTCAAAATTTGTCTGGGGTCGGGGTTATGCCTTTACATTATGGTGAGTTTCACTTTAAGATAGTTTCAGTCTTTCCAACATTTGATAGCAAACATTAAGAATGTTTCATGTTATAAGAAAAATAGATGCTATTTATATTTTTCCTAATTACATGTAGTGTTGTATATATCCGATAATCTGATAAAGATGTGAAATAACAGCTTTCCTCCTACAACACCGAAAAATAATAAAGCTGGTGTGCTCCATTAATGTCGGATAAGCTGCTGTTGTTAAGTTGTTCCCTGATTGCACCTCAATACAGCTAGAAGGTATTCTCTTCATCTCTTCGGGACAATATGAGCTGCCTTCTTGGACCTGTGAGATGGGGCACGCTGGGAGGAGAATCCGACACCCCACAGTCCAGTTTAGGAGTGGAAGTGCAGCGTGGTCCGACGCGGCCCATGAGTCCCCGCACATCTCTGTGCAGGGCCGGATCGCTGGGGATGGAGCTAAGGCGGACCCCCTGTTCCAGACTCCCAATGTCCCGGTCCAAACGGGGGTTACTAGCGCTGCTGGGGGATTGGGGGTCGGCACTGAAGTATAAGGTGGAGCTTGATTCTGTGGGGCAGTAGTAAGGCTCCGGGCTGTCTCCAAAAACAGACTTACCCTCTGGGGAGCTGCGCTTGAAATCTGACTCAGGTGACTCCATGGGGCTCTCCATTTCCAGACTGTCATCCTCTTCCTCAGGTTGTTCAGTCGATGTGGGCTCGCTCAAGCTCTGGAACTCATCTTTGCAGTCTGAGAGCGGTGCAAGGCCTTTTCCCTGGGACTCAGAGGTGGACACGCCCTCACAACTGCCTCCAGCTGTAAAGGTGATGCCCTCATTACTTTTAAACTCTTGGTTATACTCCTCCATGTCTAGAATTGCCGCTGGTCCACCAGCACCATATGCCCTGTTGATTTTACATAGATCTCCTGTCTTTAATGCTAGGCGGATCAAGAGCCAGTGGTGGTGGAAGCAAGGGCAGGAGCTGTGGCCTTGACAGTTTCCTGGGTGCTCCAGGAGAGACCCTGCCACCCCAGACAGGGAGAAACTGCCGTGATTCTGGACAGAAGATGCTGGCAGACTTTTGTCTCCAAGAGAGAAAGACGACTCGCCTTGTTCTATGCATGTGCTGCCCATCTGGTGTCGGTTTGTACCTTGGCAGATCTCTGTGGACTTGGGATGGAGGAACCGGTAGTAAAGAAGCAAAGAAGTGGCTCCTTAGATACCAAAGCAAGAGGGGGAAAAGAACAGTTAAGTTCCTCTTTTCTTCCTGTGTAATGCCATAGTTTAAATACAGCGCAATCCAACTCACACAAACCTATATTGAACAGTAAATACGTAAAAAAAATAACTAATTCTTTATTACAATAACAAAAAAAGGAACCTTTAATTTCACCACGATTTAATACAGATTGATTCAGAGCCTGCTAAGTGATTTGAGGTTTAGCTCTATGTTTCCAATCACCTTTTGGCTGAAGGACCAGCTGTTGCCAATTTCTAAATTTTTCTAAGAGACCCCCGTATTTCTTCTTTTTGAATAAGAATTCAAGCATCTGTTTAGACATGGATCTGCATGGGAGACACTAAATAAAAGCAGTGTAGAAGTTGACTATCAGCCCTGGTTAAAGGTTTTCCTTCTTGAAATGCAGCAGAAAGTACCCTCTATGCTGAAGGCAACAGCGTAAAACTATAGGCAGGTCTGACCACACCATTACACCGTCTCCAGTGTTACATAGTTAAGATAAAATGGCATATATAATTGTAACATTTTCACAAATTATAGATTATTTATTTGCTACTTTGGCAACAATACAGGAAGCTATCCTGTTATTTTGAATCATTATCATTAAGTGTTAATATAACCTGGCTAGTTTCTTCTTCTGTGAAGATGCTGCAGACAAAATGACTCACCAAGAAAAAAGCTGAACAGCACAGAGGTGGGGAGGGTCATGCTATCCCACGATGCTTCGCTCAGGAAGTCGGAGGCGGCCAGCAGCAGAGTGACATTCTCTACAAGCATGAACTAGAAAGGAGGAGAGTAAGGTCACACCATCACTCAAGCTGTCACTGCAAGCTGGGGACACAGAGGTGAGGTGATGTGCAAATTTTTCGTTATATATATACATATATGTCCTTGAAGCTTGCCCGGCTTGATGGCCAGACACAGTCGTTTGCAGCGCATGAAGCAGTTTTCTCTAATATGAGTGATTTCTTACTGCATAGAAGCTAGCCATGCGAAAGCGGGAGGGTCCGTCTTTGACGTTGAGGAAGAGGAAGACATGGATGAGGCCCACAACGCCATTAAAGGCACGCCAACACCAGTGGCCAGTGCAAATGTCCGGTTGCTGTGATACTAGCCAGAAGGAGGCTGTGAGCCAGTGAAAACCTACAGATTAGGAAAAACATAAAATACACACAGCAGATTTTGTCACTAATGTAAAAAAATGTTTGTGTTTTTCAGTGTAATAGAGTTGCATTAGAAGAACTTCCCTCTTTGTGCTCACCTGCTACCCCACAGACCCACCAGTTGAATACCCTGGCAAAAAACATGAGGCAGGTCACTCTGGCACCCAACATGCCTGCTCTCCAGACCAGCTGGCACAGCAGGGCTGCTGGAGGCATAGCCAAATGGCCTGGTCTTATCAGGCAGCAGGCTCGACTGTACAAAACCAGGGCCCAGGAAATGGACAGCACGCATAAGCCACAGCAATATGCCACTGTGTGTTAACAGAAGCAAATAATTTAACATTAAAACCATGCCTCAAACGGAACAGTTAGTCATTAATTCACTTAAAGATCAGTATACCTGGTGACATTATCCCCACATCTGTAGACACAACGACATATGCCTGCAGCAGGCTCTGAGGCAGTGTAAGGACAAGTGCTTCCAGCAGCCAAAGAGCAGCAACATCTGCCTGCTGCATGACAGCAGCACCGAGTTCAGCAACTGAGCCCTGCATGCGCAGCACAGACCTCATGCAGTCCCATAACCTGCCAGGAGAGGGAGTTAGAGACAAACACCTGAATAGGGACAACCTTCTCAATGACCCCAATGATGTGAATATTGTGCTTCTTGACAACAATCTGGCAGGCAGTCATATTGTACAGCATTTTGGCATACAACATCCAATCATACTTTGATTTATTCCATATATATATATATATATATATATATATATATATATATATATTTATCTGTATATATATATATATATATAT